GAAGTTGGAAAAAGCTCGTGATATGTTCACACAGTTCTGAAGCATTTCAAACTTGACACAGCTAAGGTAGGCTTCTGATCCCCTCTATCCTAAATTTCAAATGCCATCTTTACAGCTTGAGTTATGACTCGTGCACCATAGTCGCAAACGTAAAAAAGATAAATCCATATATATAAATAATATGATTCAAGCGTTTCCTGTGAGCGAGAATTACTCCAAAAATGAATGTAGCGACATCGAGCCATCTGCTCTACGATGAATGCAAGACAGAAAATAAGCCCTCAGAAGATATGAAGTTGATAGGATAGAGGAGTGGAAATGGTGACATGGAACCTAAAACCTTACTTTTCCGGATACTTGTTCGTTGGCACAAATTTTGCACATTCCCGTCGTGTGAATGTAGCTGTGATCCAGTGTGCTCTGTTCAGTGACTGAAAATACAAATAAACAAACAAATAAACATTATTGTATCCTTTGAATGATTTCGCAAGTCCACTAGAATTTGCTGTGCATGGGGAGAATTTTGAGACCAGATAAACGAAGACAAATTTATCACCGGAAACTATAAAACTGTTAGCAGATATTATGGCATCAATTTTTTTGTAAGCCTTGGAGAGACTTGTAGTAACAAATTTCAAAGTTTGGAAAGGAAAACTTACCAAATCCGATTCCGAAAATCGCATTTGACTAAACAGTGGCGGCAGGGGCGGATGTGACTCCGCGTGTGGTTCGCTGAGCTTCCTCAGATTCACCTTAAAATTTCATCAGCTGTAAACATAAGCTGTTTGCTTAGTTTTAGTGACGATTCTGCAAGGTGAGATTACATCACAGATAAAGACTAATACAGGACCGTCTGTTAACAAGCTGTAAAAAGTCATTATTGTTTTTCGGCATTTTTATTGGACAACTTCTTAAATCAATCGAAAAAACGAGAGTGTCTCAGACTCAAGCTAGGAATTACCAGTTTTCCAAACTTGATTAACTACAAGTTACGGCAAAGTTTAAAATAACAACAACATCGCCGGCGGTGATTTTTCTGCCGATAAGCACCGCGCGGTAGCAGAGAAACGATGGTGATGACTGCGAAGCAGAATATCCGGAACAATGACACGAACGCAAAGGAGTATCAATGCTTACTATAATTTTCTGAAATACTGGTTTTCGCAGCCTACTTTTTGGGGTGAAAGAATAAAATCAAGGATATAAATGCAAACATATTATACTGAACAAACTATTACTTCCAAAAACTAAAAGAAAACTGGACTGTCCACGACTGTTCCCTTATTTACAAATATGCGCAAAAAACGTATTGCTTTGAAGCATGCAATATATAATACGTAAGTTCGCAGCATCTACAATGCGTTTTTCATTCTCCTCCTACGAAATGTAGAAAACCGAAACAAAAAAGACTTGTCATATTCTCATTCCTGCAAGTCCTGCAGAGATTCATCTCACTCAAGATATGAAAGAAGTGAGAAACTGCATTTTTTTATGGGATGACCCGATGGCACCATGCAATAATTTTTCAAAAAGGCTTTTCCAGCTTGGAAATGTTACACAGTTTGTCTAACCAATAAAAAAAGAAATGTTGTTGTTGAATGGAGTTGTTCGGAAATCTATGTTCTTGGCCTGCTTCAGCAACAGCGCGAGTTAATTGCGAGTGTATTTCCACACCTGCTTTTTGCTGTATCCTATCCAAAAACCATGCTCTTCTTTGGAATTCTAGCAGAACAACAAGCCCTTATCGGCTGTGACACCGTATACATATATTTACCTACTTAGCAACAAACATGTGATTTAGCTTTCGGGTCAGATAACAATGACATCATCACCATCT